TAGTGAAAGCTACAACACCCCTTCAGTTGCCCAAGTCATCCTTAATATCCCCTGCCTCTCATCCCCAATATCCTGCTGGTGTTTACCTCTGAATACATCTTGAATATATTCTCTTCTCTCCATCCCTTCCATATCACCATGCAACTCTGAGCCACCATCGCCTTTATCCTGGAAACTCCACTAGTTTTCCAGTAATTGCTCAGCTTATATCTACTCTGCCCACTTCCCTCTTATTCACTCTCCCTGCTTTAAGTCCAACAATGCATTGCCATTGTGTTCAGTACAAAGACCAGACTCCTCCAGGCTCAGCTTGAACCACACTAGCTTCACAACCATTCCTTCTCTCCACCCTTTCTCTTAGTCCCTGATGCTCTACTGTCCCACCCTCCATGAGGCTTTTGTACAACTACCCTCTGCTGCTATGTTCCTTCTTCCCTTCCCCTGCCTCATCACCTTCTGTCCATCCCTTAAGTTGTAGCTCAAATGTCCCTTCCTCAGAAAACTCACATTATTTCCTCAATTACATCAAGTCCTCTCATAATAAATAGGCTCCTAAAATCTCACATAAATTCTTCTTTATAGCACTTGCCACAGGTACAGTTTGACATTTTAAAAATATGGTCATTTGATTAATCTGTCTTCCCAGCTAGAATGTAATACTTAGTGAAGGTAGGGACTGTTTCTGGTTTTGGCAAGCAATATACCCCAATGTCTAATACAGTGCTTATCAAACAGTAGACTATCTATACATGGTTATTAAATAGATGAATGAATGAATGAATGAATTCCAATTCTTATGCTCTTAACCACAATGCAAACGGAGATCTGTTTGAGTTAAATTGTAGAAAGATGAATTTTTTTATTTCACTTCCAATGACCAAGATTTTCCAGAGCTTGCTAACTAAAAAACTATTTGCTTCTGTACTTCTTTACCTGGACTGGCTACCATTAGGTTGACTGTTTGAAAACTCACAGTGCTGGACATACAGTAACTGTTCCATAAAATGTTTGTTGAACAGCTGATCTTAGAGTAAAAGGATCCTAGGGTTCTAGAGGGGAGGGGATGGGGGGATGGGTTAACTTGGTGATGGGTAATAAAGAGGGCACGTACTGCATGGAGCACTGGGTGTTATACGCAAACAATGAATCATGGAACACTACATCAAAAACTAACGATGTAATGTATGGTGATTAACATAACATAATAAAAAAATGCTATAAAAAGTGACACAATATTTGGAGGTCAAAGGAAGGGTTCAATGTTAATTCTCTGTATTCTTTTCCTCTAGATAAAGAACTCTGTATAATCTAATTTCTCACCGAATCCTATTTGGCCCACGTACTTCCCCATAGTGTGTCAAAGACATTCTTTAGGACCATATAAAATCCTGGCTAATCTAGTCTTAGCCTTTTCCTATAGGTAGAAACTCTGTAAAAACTAGTTAGTCTCACCACTTTGAAAAGCAATTAACCTTGTAGTCTTCAAAATGATAAAAAAATTAATAATGTCCCTGCACCATTTTTCTAATTTAAGCAAGATTTCTTAGTCTTCATAAATGGTAATGCTCTCTATTATTAATCCCTGTGCACATTAGTTTCTAAAGTATTTAATTTTAAGCAACTCAACAAAATCAATGCCTGATATTTTCCAAAATGTAATGCAGTCTGACTCCAGTGGGCAGAGCAGCTCTCCAATTTGCTATTTGAAGACCAGCTTTGTCCCCCAGTAGCTCCACGGACTGCTGTTGTGATGTGTACAACTTCTGGTTTTTAATGGAGATTTTTTTTTCCTCTTAGGGCAATGACATGGCTCTGAAATGTGCTCTGGAGAGAAGGAGGGCAAGTAAAGGAAATAATTTTTTTTTTTCCTAGTAGGTGATCTGCTCATAATGGGAAAAACTTTGTTAAGCAAATTTTGTTGCAGAACATGTACTGATTTGCTCTTAAATCCTTAGACGTTTTCTCGAGATGGTACATACGGAATCCTGGACAAGTGACGTGAACAAGTTGGAAACCTATTGAGGCTCCTTCTGTGCTGTGAAATTTGTTTTCCTCCTGCCCCAGGTCTCTGGGGTAAGCGCACGTGAAAAGTGATGGTGGCAGCTATTTCGAGGGTCACGGTCAGCTGTGAGAGCCCTCCAAGTCAATCTGACGACCCTTTCTCAGCCTCCCACGCAGCAGAGGGGTCCTCTGCTGACCTCGTGCTCTTATTCCCGCTGCATCCTCAGCACACACCAGTTAAGAACACGCAGCGCCAATCTAATTTGGCTGCCCCTACGGAAGCATTCTGTTTAAACCCTGCGGGCCCTGGAGCCAGGAGGAGCCAGCCCCAAGGCCATCGCTGCCTGCATCTGTATTTTCATTCAAGAATTGGGTAGAAATCCTGATGCATTTCCTTCAGTGGGTGAATTCAGCCGTTTCTTGAGAATTTCAGCAGTGGATGGAATTTATTCTGTAACTTTGATGGAGACACTGGCCTTTGCCCTGTGACGCCACCCACTCTCCTGCATTCGGTGGGAGTCTGAAGGATGCAGTACCCGTGCTGATGAAAGGGGTCTGGAGGGGTGCCCCACTGTATTAACAGACCCAGGCATTATAAGTGCCCTGTTCGCCAGCAATCGTTTTCAGTATATTGCATTACAAATTCCTGGCTTTGCAGGATGGGCGTTAATACTAGGGACGATTGAAAGTGGCAGTTTTGGCTGTGGGCGCAGATATCCCAGGCACCAGCAGGGTCTTGCAGTATTTCTAATCAGTTAGCTACTCTGTCTCATTAAACACTGATGGTACATATTTGGCCACTGAGCTCTGTGCTTGATTACTGACTGGCTTCCCTTGTGGCTTCTCTAATATTGCATTGTTCAATTATAAAATGTCTCTTTTGGAGTTCTTTGCAAAGCAATTGGAGGTAGTTCCAAAGACTTATGAAGAACTTAGAGAAACCCTCAGTATTGACTAAAATACTGCCTTTAACTCAATTTCATAAGCACTTTTTTCTTTAATGTTTTGATTAAAAAATTACAAATACAGACAGGTGCTGAAAGCATGTTATTGATTGGAAATTTCTATTAACTGGCACTGTCACATCAATCAATACAATTTAAAGTGTTGTTAAAACAATGGCTCAGAAGTGTAGGAAGTCTGTGGAGTGCTTTTAAATCATAAAACAATAAAATATGCTCAGCATATTTTCAATATCTAATTGATTGCAATTTTCAGAATATGGCAGTTGATATATATTGGATCAATATATTGAATTAATCAATATGCTGCTGGATTACAATAAAAATGAATCAGTGCCTTCTCCCTGCCAGCTACTAGTCACAGGGAACAACAGGGCTTACTGTACTTTATATGCCTCTTGTGGAATGATGAACGCCAGTTTCCAGACATTTAAGCAAATGGCAAAAAAAGGTCAACTATCCTTGTTTGACCTTTGCAGCTGAAAGGGCAGTGAGTTACAGAATTCATATGTATTTTTTCCCATCTAACCGTCTGGGGTAAAAGAGAGAATCTCAATTTAAGTTTTGCAAATAGCTGGCTCTTACTTTGCCAACAGTGAAGAATTTTCTGTTTCAAGATTCAGTGAGTAAGTAGGCTAATAGGCATAAAGAATTCTGACATTGTTAGTTTTTAGAGAAAGAACAAGTCAACAAACTGGAAAATGTACCGCAATGGCCCGAAATTGGGCTATGCAAATTGAATGCCACAGATCTCCAAACTACAGTGCACATTAGACGGCCAGGGCAGAAACCATTTACAACTCACAGAATTCCAATAGAACGTTCTGCCAACTTACACTCTCCACCACAAATTTAATATCGGAAGAGCAAGTCCAATGTTGGAACATGTGATTATCAGCCTGCCCTGGTTTCTTACGTCTTCCCATTTTTAATATGTCTTACATATTCTCAGCCTGTGTTGGCTCTTTAAAATACACTATGCTGACCTAGTTAAGACATTTGTAATCTATTTATGTGTATTAGGCAACTGTTTGCATAGCTGAAATATAAATTTGATAAAGCAATGAACACTCTACAGAGGAATACTCTACAAAAGGGACTCGGTTCCAGAAATGCTACAAAATTCATTCAGCACTGAGTGTCCACTGCAGGACTGGCACGAGGCCAGGCCCAGAGGAAACAGGAACAAGAAAAAATTCCTGGCCGAGGAGAAGTTCACAGTCCAGTGGTCATATCTAAGCTATGTACAACAAGGGCAGAGGGACTCACTGTGATCTGAGAGGTGTCTGGAGGACGAATCACGGCATGCAAATGCTATTGCAGAGTCTGACTCACCAGGCCCCTTGGTACTTCTCACACGTCGTGCCAGTGTGACCGGCGTGCTGGCAAACACTGCCTCTCTTCCGAGGCTGCTTCAAGCTCCCTGCTTCGCTCCCTTCCTTGCAGACAGGCTGTCAGTTCTCCTGTGAGCTTGCCCGTTTAGTGAGAACACCTCTCCCACTGAAGCCTCTCACCACTCCATCTTTATAGCCTCACACATCTCAGGCGTAGAAGTAATGGGCTGAGACACCCATCTTTTTGGCAGACTGTTGGCGTGTGTCGCCATCACTCTAGCCCCTGGAAAAGTCTGCTCACGTTCGAGGCGGGCAGGGTGGTGGCCTGGGGTGTAGACTCTGCAGTAAGACCTGAGTTCAAATCCTGGCTCCATCATCTTTGGCAGCGGGACCAAGGGTATGTGATGCAATTCCTGTACCTTGGTTTCCTCTCAGTAAAACTGGGTGAAAAACAGGATTTTTAACATAGCATTAAGACTATCAGATCAGATCATCTCAGTAAATAACACACACGGTACTCAGACTGTCAGCTCAGGGAAACACTCAGCAAACATCCTTCTTTTCTCTCCTTGCCGTCCACCCCTGCTCTTCCTCTGATGTCCAGTTCATGTCTCCTCACCCTTCAGAAGTGGACCCCGCGTCACTTCTTCAGAGAAGCCTCGCTGGCCCTCTGGCCCCCGTGCTGCTCTTTCCTGGCACTTACCTCAGCTGTAACCTGCCACGGCTTCGTGTTAGTCACCCTCACTAGACCATGTGCTCCATGACAGCTGGGGCCAGCTCTGCTTTTGTTCACTGTGGGCTCCTCCATGCCTAGAATCATGCCGGGTGTGTAGAAAGTATGTGTTGAACGGCTACATGACAGATGAAGGATTCTGGCACCACAAAAACAGTTCTGTGGAAATGCTGCAAGGCCCTTACATGGTGAGGGGGCAGCACCAAGTGGGTGGGCTCCAGCCTCTTTCCCCTCCTGGGAGCTCAGCTTTTATCTGTTTACTTCTAGATTACCCCATGACTCCATTGGAAGACACAAAATACAGTTTGAGAACTACTTGCTTTCCTAACTCTTTCCAAGAACTTAATACCTTTTACCTGAGGAATCTGTGAGATGTTATGACTAGATACTTCCATGCTGTCTGTTGTTGAAGAAGCAACTCAAATTGCACACCTCTCTTATTTTTGGTGAACAGTTGTATCACCCCAAAACATATAGAGAAGAGAAATCATTTTACCTATTGCAACTTCTCTAAGGAATTTTCTAGAAGTATTTAAAGAAGTTTCAACCTTAGGTGGAATGGAGCCCCAAAGAAAATTTCTAACATTTTGGCATTTCTTCCAAGATTAATTTATACTGATAGGGGACATCTGGGATTAGCATGGTCAGTTCACTCATAGCAAAGCACCTCTCAAATCACAAGGCTTGAAAGTGATTAAGCACTGGATAGAGGGGTAGGCTTCTAAACAGCTTAATTCAGACTGCCGTGACCACCAAGACCATTGCTTGAGCAGGTATATTGAAAGTAAGGTTTCTCTGATAGCGTGTTCAAGATGTAGAATTTCTTTTAGGGCAGTGATTTACATCTTTCAGGGAACAGTCTTAATTTTAAAGTTAAACAGTAAAACAATTCAAAGATTATTTGAACACTTATTCTCCAACCCCTAAGTTCAAAGAAGTGAAAAAATTCATCTTTTGATATAAACATAATGAGGAAACAACCCCACTCCTTGCAATTTAGCCAAATGCAACCCTCTTCTGACAGACATGCCACGAGGGCTGTCCAATGCCACAGAAAAAGTTAGTGACTGAACCCAGAGTCTCAGGCACTCAGGGAAGAATCTCTCCACTATACTTCAGGATACATGTGTGAAACACAAATGACTAAATTTTATTCTCAGCCTCTTCCCTGTATATACAAGTTTGCATTTCTTTTTTGAATAGGGGGAAATCGGAGGGGGAGATGAACCATGAGAGACTATGGACTCTGAGAAACAAACTGAGGGTTCTAGAGAGGAGGGGTTGGGGGGATGGGTCAGCCTGGTGATGGGTATTAAAGAGGGCACATACTGAATGGAGCACTGGGTGTTATACGCAAACAATGAATCATGGAACACTACATCAAAAACTAATGATGTAATGTATGGTGATTAACATAACATAAAAAAAA